AAAGGAGTTCAATCAATTTTGTGAAGATAACGGCATTCGTCGTCCCATGACTGTCCCACGCACACCATAACAAAATGGTGTTGCCGAAAGAAAGAATAGGACTATCCTCAACATGGCCCGAAGCATGCTAAAGACGAAGAATATGCCTAAAGAATTTTGGGCTGAAGCTGTGGATTGTGCCGTCTATCTTCAAAATCGCTGCCCCACGAAGAGTCTAGATGGAATAACTCCACAAGAAGCATGGCATGGAGGTAAACCTGGAGTCTCACACTTGAGAGTATTTGGATGCATTGCATATGCTCATGTTCCTGATCAGACTAGATCAAAACTCGATGACAAGAGCGAGAAGTTCATATTCATTGGATATGACAAACACTCAAAAGGGTACAAACTCTACAATCCGAATTTGAAGAAGCTCATAATAAGTCGTGATGTGGAGTTTGATGAAGAAGGCTCGTGGAATTGGAGCATTAGCGACAAAGAAGATTATAGCCTCTTACCATCCATGGAATATGAAGAAGTTGAAGAGAATCATGAAAATATAACTCCTCCACCATCTCCCACTCAATCTCAAGCTTCCCCACCAAGTTCGGATGAAAGAGAAATACCACGCATGCGAAGCATTGAAGAGCTTTACGAGGTAACACAAAACCTGAACTCAAATGATGAACTTACACTCTTTTGTCTATTTGGTGATTGCGAGCCACTAAGTTTTAAAGAAGCCACAAGAAACAAGAAGTGGAGAGATGCAATGGATGATGAGATTAAGTCCATTGTGAAGAACAAAACATGGGAGCTAGCCACACTTCCATCAAATCATAAAGCAATGGGAGTGAAGTGGGTATTTAAGATCAAGAAAAATGCAAAAGGGGAGGTTGAGAAGTACAAAGCAAGACTAGTGGACAAAGGCTACGCCCAAAGACATGGCATTGATTATGAAGAAGTATTTGCGCCCGTTGCTAGATTGGAAACAATAAGATTGATAATTGCACTCGCGGCTCACAACAAGTGGAAGATACATCAAATGGATGTCAAGTCCGCATTCTTAAATGGGTTCCTAGAAGAAGAAGTCTACATTGAGCAACCCGAAGGTTACAAAGTCAAAGGGCAAGAAGATAAAGTGTTGAGGCTAAGAAAGGCTCTTTATGGGCTTAAACAAGCACCAAGAGCTTGGAATAGTAGAATTGACCAGTACTTCCAAGCTAATGGATTCGTGAAGTGTCCACAAGAACATGCACTATATGTAAAGAAAAATCGTCAAGGAGACATATTGCTCGTGTGCATATACGTGGACGATCTCATCTTTACAAGTAATAATATGACGATGTTCGATGAGTTTAAACAAGTCATGACAAGGGAGTTCGAGATGACTGACATTGGGCTTATGAGTTACTATCTTGGCATCGAAGTGAAGCAAATGGATGATGGTATATTCATCACTCAAGAAGGATACGCGAGAGAAGTACTCAAGAAGTTCAACATGGAGGACTCCAAACCTGTAAGTACACCTGTTGAAAGTAGATTAAAGTTATCAAGGTATGATAAAGAAAAATTGATTGATCCAACCTACTTTAAGAGTCTTGTGGGGAGCTTAAGATACTTAACATGTACAAGACCAGATATTCTCTTTGGTGTTGGACTTGTTAGTCGATTCATGGAGGCCCCTACAATAACTCATTTGAAGGCGGCAAAAAGGATTTTGCGATATCTCAAAGGCACTGCCGAATATGGGTTGTTTTACTCTTCATCTGATGAATTTAAGCTGGTTGGATATTGCGATAGTGATTGGGGTGGAGATATCGATGACCGCAAGAGCACAACTGGGTTCGTGTTTTACCTGGGAAACACTGCTTTCACATGGGTTTCAAAGAAGCAATCGATAGTCACTCTGTCCACTTGTGAAGCCGAGTACGTTGCAGCAACATCAAGTGTTTGTCGTGCAATTTGGCTCAGGTACATATTGCAAGCTCTCGGCATGTCTCAAGAAGAAGCAACAACAATATTCGTGGACAACAAGTCAGCTATCGCATTAGCAAAGAATCCAGTGTTTCATGATCGAAGTAAGCACATAGACACTTGATATCATTTCATCCGGGGAAAGATAGCAAAGAAGGATGTTCAAGTAGAGTATGTGAAGACTCAAGACCAAGTCGCTGATATTCTCACAAAGCCACTCAAGCATGATGTCTTTGCAAAGATGCGGGATCTACTTGGTGTGCTAAGTCAAGTTTAAGAGGGGATGTTAGAAATTAAACTTGGCTTAGCCCAATAATTGGGTCCATTAGAAGTTAACTTATTGGGCTAATAGTTGTATAAGAAATAATAAATTAGTTAGCCCATAAGTTAGAGTTAGTAAAGAAAGATCTAGAGTACTCTTTAGTTAATGTACTTATTAAATAAATGTAGAATATTCCTAAACTAGAATTCTATAGAATATTGTAAAATCTTAAGGAAATAGGAGTGCCTAGAAGGATCCTATGAGACCTATAAATAGAGCACTCCTCACTCATTTGTAAAACAAGCCAAAGCTCCAAATCAATAAAAGTTCCAAGTTCTTTCAAAATCATCTATCTCTAAAATTCTCTCTTCCACACACAATCACCTAAATACAATACTCATAAACTCCTTTATTCCAACACGAGAGTCAATGGAAGGGTCCCACCACAACAGTGTTAAGGGGCAAGTCTTCACCTATCAAATTTTTAACAAGAGACCACTCTCAAAACTTGAACCGGTGCACCAAGGCTCCCCAATACAAAACTCCCAAATGTGCAATTAGAATATTTGTTGGATCAATATAGCATTTGATATATCAATAGAGAATTCAATATTGGCATGTACACACTTTTGGACAATACATGAATGAACAATAGCACAAAAGCGGGACTGAAGTATTTGTGCATGCTGCATAGCATACTTTCCTAGAGGCGTTGAAGACATGAAATCATACCGGAGAACAAGTAAGCGTGTTTTCTTCGCTGGTTAAAACCCTGGAATGTGTAGGGATGAAGAAGTTGGCTTACAGTTTGGTTATTTCACTGGGAATGCCTCTTTTAAACTTGTACTACATACTATCGTATTTGGTATTCGTGTATATATATATATATATAGGAAAAACTTCCGGTAAGGTATACCTTACCGGAGCTTCCGTGCGGCCTCCACGTTTTGAGGGCCTTCCCGGTGGAATTTTTCGATGAAATTTTTTGAGAATGTTCTTCATCAAGTCTAGTACATCCATACCAAATTTCATCAAAAAATTCAATCGGGAAGGTAGTCAAACGATTTTTGGAAGATAATTGCGTTTTATATGTATATAAAGGGTGCAGTTATCTTCCAAAAATCATTTTACTGCCTTCCCGATTGAATTTTTTGCTGACATTTGGTATGGATGTACTAGACTTGATGAAGAACATGCTCAAAAAATTTCATCGAAAAATTTCACCGGGAAGGCCCTCAAAACGTGGAGGCCGCACGGCGGCTCCGGTAAGGTATACCTTACCGGAAGAGTTCCCTATACACACACACACACACACACACACACACACACACACACACACACACACACACGAATGTCAGGTCCGGCCAGGTTGGACCACTCCCCTGTCCGGCCTCCTCCATTTGGGGGCCTTCCCGGTGGTATTTTGTGCTCAAATTTTTTGTGTATGTTCCTCATCAAATCTAGTTCATCCATACTAAATTTGAGCAAAAAATTCAATCGGGAAGGTCGTCAAATGATTTTTTCAAGTTAACTGGTCCGGAATATGTATTTTCCGGACCAGTTAACTTGCAAAAATGATTTGATGACCTTCCCGATTGACTTTTTTTCTGAAATTTGGTATAGATGAACTAGACTTGATGAGGAACATACACAAAAAATTTGAGCAAAAAATACCACCGGGAAGGCCCCCAAATGGAGGAGGCCGGACGGGGCTTCTGTCCGGAAATTCCGGACAGGAATAGCACTATATATATATAGACAAATATTCAGGTCCGGCCAGGCCGGACGGGGCTCCGGTTAGGTATACCTGACCGGAAGACTACTCTCTCTCTCTCTCTCTCTCTCTATATATATATATATATATATATATATATATATATATATATATTTATATATATAGATTTTGGTTCAAGTGAGAAATGCATCTAATGTGAGAAATGAGAATGAATCTCAGGCATTAGATTCGCGAAGTTGCACTAAAATGATTTGATGTTGCAGTGATATTTAAATTTTGCACATGTTGCACTAAAACTGTTTCATGTTGCACTAATATTTGACGGCGTTGCACCGAAATAGCTTCATGTTGCACTAGACACGTCTAATACGGATTTTTCAGAAGTATTTACAGAAATGTCACCGTGTTAGATTGCATATTTCAGTGCATCATCAAGTGTCTTTTACTGCAACTTAGTCGAATCCAATGGTTGAGATTCATTCTCATTTCTCACCTAAAGGGTTCTTCTCACTTGAACCTTACCCTATATATATAGGGGAAAGATCAAGTACAAAGTGTGCTTATTGTGCAAATGTTTGTACGATGCACCTTGACGTTATTTGCATTGCATATTGAGGTTCAAAGTGTTGCATATTATATAGTCATAAAATAGCAGTTGCACATTAACGTTCAACGAGTTGCACCCTAGAAAAGTTAGGTTTTATTACAAAAATGTCACCTTGCCTTTATATCCTTTAGATCAACTCATCGGATGGTCAAGATAAGTTTGTACTTTGTAAATTAAGCATGGTTTGTATTTGATCTCTATTCTAAATATATATATAGAGAGAGAGAAAAGATCACATGAGAAGTGTATCTTAGGATGAAAAATGAGAAGTAATATGCACCGTGCGATTACCTCCGATAAGCTTAGAGACCGGATCTATCATTAATGGCAATTGAGGTAAATTATTCAACCTTTGTACCTTTTTAATAGATGGGCAGCTATAATTAAAAGCAATATATTTAACGAACTCTTCCCTTCTTCTCTATGATCTAAAATATGATGCCGATCTCTTTCTTCGATCTCATTAAATTCGTTTCTCAATTGCTTGGTTCGTCCTTATGTCCAGATGGGACATCGGCCGCCACCGGTCGCCACTGGTCTTTGCCCCTACTTTTCTATTTGGATCTAAATGTAAGCATAGAGTCATGTTCGGTAAGGAGAATTGCTACAACATTTCATCTTCACGAATCAAATATTACCACTCTTCATCAAACTGTATTCGCTCTCATATGAAATATGAATTTTAAATTATATATGCTAACTGTTTGTTAAAATGTGTCAATGGATGATGATATCAATAGTTTACACTTTTATAAAATGAAATGTTTGTTGAAATGATTTAGTAGTTTAGTTTTGACCTTAAGATGCATAAATGTGTTGGTAATTTACAACCCAATGAACTTATGCTATGCTTATCAAATTGAGTAATTTCTTTTTAAATAACTTGTCAGTTTTCTTTTACTCCGTATAAGTTATACATTTTCGGTTCAAAGTTATTTAAAAATCTGATGAAAATTTGAGCTAAGATTTATGGAATTCTTCTCGTAAAATTTGGTGGACCATATTTGAGCCGACACCTTGCTGCATATCTTTAATTTTAATTTGTTTAAGAGAATGTCAATTATAATTAGCATAGAATAGATAGCTCTTGTTGGAACTATAGAATCTGAAACCTGGAAAGGATACATGTGGGATTTAAAAATCCCACCCAAAGTTAAATTTCTTTTTTGGCAGGTTATGGACGGGTTCTTCCCACGTTGGTCAACTTAAGCAAGCGTGGAGTGTAGTTGCATTTGAGTGCAAACTGTGCAACATAGAAGAGGAGTCTCCCGATCATGTTTTTCAATTATGTCCTCAAGCTCGGGCTGTCTGGAAGCTAGCTGTGATTATTTCAGCCCTTCTGCAGACAGTTTGGAAGGTTGGGTGCACGCAGTCCTGGGGAATGCAGTGGACGAGAGATGGGGCAGGTTTATAGTCATCATTTGGAGCCTATGGAAGCAGAGAAATCTGGCAGAGTGGAAGGAAGAATTTCAGGGGGCTGCAGTAGTGTCATGGGCTGCAGACAGCATGCTGAAAAGCTGGGAGGATGCACAAAAATTGAAAGTGACAGCTAGACAAGTTCCGGCAAGTGCAAACACGACTTGGCAGAAACCGCAACAGGGTCATATCAAAATTAATATTGATACAGCTGTTAACGAGATGGGGAGAACTAGAGTATGGGAATGGGTTACTCGCAATGGCCGGGGGACTTTCATAAAGGCTGTTAATTAGTCTAAAAAGGTGGGTTGGTCCGCGGTCGAAACTGAGACCGTGGGAATCAAGGAAGCTATTTATAGAGTATAAACTGCCTCATTCTGGAGTATGCTATGTTTTGTAAAATTGAAGTGAATCTTAGAGCATAAAATTACACATGTTAAGGCTATTAACTCAATTGTTAAGGCTATTAACACATGTTAAGGCTACTCTAAGGCATAATCTTAGAGTAGTGTGCAAATTTGCACATTGGTGTGGGTTCGAGTCCCACATAGCCTTAGTAAATATCAGTTGTTTCAACTTCCCAAGAAAGTACATTTAGACAAATTTGACAAGTCATTTGCATAGCATAAATTTGAACAAGCGTCTAGGGATGGACTCGGGCCGGGCCAACCGGCCCAGAACCGGACCGGCCCGCTACTGTGCGGGCCCGGACCAGCCCGGTGAACCGGTTTGTGCCCGGTTCGGGCCACCCGGCCCGGTGGTATAGCGGTCCGGGCCCGGGCCTCCATTTTAGTGAACCGGCCTGGCCGGGCCCGGTTCGGGCCTCCAACGGTCAGTTTTTTTTTTAAAAAAAATTGATTTGTAAAGGGGCTTCTAGTCGTTGGGAGAGCTCCCAAACGGATCTATAGCCGTTGGGAGCATAGGAGGGGGGTTTGGGGGGTTAGGGGGTGGGATGGGGGTGGGGTATTAAAAAAAACCTATTTATACTCCTATTTTCTATACATTTTTTACACCTCTTCTTCTACAACTCTTCCTACTCTCTAATTCTCTACTCTCAATCTCTCATATTCAATCATCTTCATTCTTCATCTTCTCCAAATTCTTTCTACATATATATAATTTATATAATTATTATATCTACTTATATATTAATTATCTACTTATAAATATATACTTATACACATTCATATTATAATTCTTTACACATTATATATACTATATATACTATACACATTCATATTTACTTGATATTTAGTTATTATCCATACTATTGTTATTTACTTATATTTATATATTACATTTAGTTAATATATACTTATATATGTATATTAAAGTATTAAGTATAAGTTTATTACTCATCTTATAGTAATATACTTATATATTATATACTATAAACATTATATTAAATATTACTTATAATATATTTACACATTATATATACTATATATACTTATACACATTCATACATTTTATAAAAGTAGTTAATTGTTAGACTTCTCATTTATCTATTAAAGTAGTTAATTGTTACATTTCTCTACATTTCTCTTTAAAGAAAAAAAATAGTTAAAGTAGTATATTTTTACATTTGTCATATTCATATTAGTTAAAGTACTTAATTGTTTCATTTGTCATATTAATATTAGTTAATTGATACATTGCTCATTAAAGTAAAAATAACTAGTTAATTTTTACATTTGTCATAATAATATTAGTTAAACTACTTAATTGTTACATTTCTCATATTAATATTAGTTACTTGCTACATTTCTCATTAAAGTAAAAAAGGTAGTAAATTTTTACATTTGTCATAAGGTGATATTATTTAAAGTATACATTTCTCATTAAGGTAAAAAGAACTAGTAAATTTTTACATTTGTCATTTTATAAACTAGCTAAAGTAGTTAATTGTTAAATTTGGTATATTAATATTAGTTAATTGCTATATTGCTCATTAAAGTAAAAAAAAAAAACTAGTTAATTTTTACATTTCTCATATTAGTTAGTTGCTACATTTCTCATTAAAGTATTAATTAGAAGTAGTTCGATTTCTATACTCATATTTTAGTTCGAATTTGCTATAGTTTTTTTAGTCACATTTTATTATTACTATTGTACTCATATAAAATATTTGATATCATTTAATATTTGTTCAATTTTAAAGATTGAGCGTGGTAGACATTCTGTAGATGTGGGTAATCTCCAACGCAACCGCAAGAGGGAGATTGCGTCGACTCGTCCTACTTCACGCAAAGGCAAAGGTAAAGCGCGGGCGGAGTCTTCTTTTCAAAGTCGAGATGACTTTGAAACGGATTACCAACGGAGAGATGATATGATGATGTCCGCTTTGCACAAGAACAACACATCCCGACAACCATTGATGAAGAGGAGCTCGAGGATGACGATGCGGAGGAGGACGCGGGGGGCGACGGGACTCACGGCACCCCGGATGATGAGCAAGACTTGGAGGACGAGGGCGGTTCAACCCAAACTGGTAAGAAATCTAAATCTCCTATTATTGAAAACAATTTTACAAAAAGGAAAGACAAAAATACCGAAAAATGGTACGCAAGTTGCAATTAATCATTGCGGCAAAGAGTATAGCTTGGGAACTTCTGGCGGATACGGGAGTCTCACAAGGCATCTTAAGTCCGCCCATCTTGTGGAGTATGCGAAAATAGACAAGGGCAAGGGAAAGCAAACACAAATATCGAGGTTTGCAAATTCTCAACCTTTTGGTAATTTCTCCTATGATGATAAAAAACATTTGACTGGCATGTCTCATTTAATTGTTGAAGAAAATTTACCCTATATTTTTTTCGAAAGTCTTGCTTTAAGAGATTATGCTCAAGATACTTTAAATCCTCAATTTAGAAATTATAGTCGCAAAACGATTAAAAAAGAAGTTATAAGGCAATATAACTTCGAAAAAGAAAATTTACAAACATTTTTTGCAAACTTTAATGGACGTGTTAGTATTTGTAGTGATATATGGGAGGATACTTATCATCATTTATATTATTTGGGTCTTACTGCACATTATATTGATGATGATTGGAATATGCATAAACGTGTTCTTACTTTTTGTGAATTCAATGATCGTCATACTGCTGATAATATTTATATTCTCATTGAGCGTATTTTAATTGAGTATAATTTGCTTGATAAGGTGTTTGCTGTAGGTTTTGATAATGCTAGTAATAATACTGCTGTTATACGTAGATTGCGTGAATTGTGTGGTGCTTCTACATTGATGGGTAGGTTTTTTCATCAACGTTGTGCATGTCATATTCTAAATTTGTGTGTACAAGATGGATTAGAGGCATTAGGAAATGCTTTGGATGTAGTGAAGGGGGGAATTAAATTGATTTGGGCTAACACTCCACTAAAAATGCGATGGCGGCAATATTTGAAGGAAAAACGTGTCAATTATTGTGCTTTTTCTAAAGATTTGTCTATTCGTTGGAATATTACTTATAACTTAATTCAAGTACTTATTAGATATAAAGAACATTTTCCTGCTTTTTTAAGACAAACTTGTAACTATATTATAAACCCGGCTGACATCGACACTTGTGAAAAAATTGTTAATGTTTTGGTATATTTTAATAACGCAACTCAAACTTGAATTAAATATACTTGAATTATTTTATATTATTGTGTACATCAATTCAATAATTCTCAAAAAAAATGTATTCAATAATCAATTCAATAAAATTAATTTGTAAACTTGTACTTCATATTTCAATAATTCTCATAAAATTTGTATTAATTTGTAAATTTGTAATAAATTCAAAATAATATTAATATGTAAATTAATTAATTGGTTACACACTTACAAGTTACAACTTCAATATGTAATTTGTTTAAATACTTATACACCTATTTTGTAACATTTGTAAATTATAAATCAAATCACTTTTATAAGTAAAAATAGTTTTACTTAATTCATTAAATTAATTAACTTATTTTACAATATGTATAATTTTCAAAAAAAAAAATTAAAACATTTTGAAATACAAAATTGCTCCCAAACGGTTATATAGCCGTTGGGGCTTAGGGTGGGGGGCAGGGGGTCCCGGGGGTGGTGGTGTGGGGGTGGGGTTCAAAAAAATCTATAAATACATCTATTTTCTACCATTTTTCTACACCTCTTATCCAACTCTTCTCCAACTCTTCTCCATCTTCATCTTCTCTTATTATCCTACATTTGTACTTATACATCTACTGATCTACCATTTTAAAGATGGAAAGTAATTCTTCTGTTATGCAAAACAATTTTGATAAGTGGAAGGACCCGAAGACCGGACTGTGGTGGGCAACTTGCAAGTGGTGCAAGAAAGAGTGTTGCTTGCGGCGTTCACACGGAGTCGGGATGCCAATAAAACATATGAAGTCATGTGACAAAGGCAAAACAACAACCAACGATAGCGGAAATCCCAATTGATATTTATTAGAAAATGTATTTCATATTTTTATTGTTTTCTCAATTATCAAATGTACTTCCTATTTCAAATAAATGCACTTGAATTTTGTTTTTAATAAGAATTATTATAATAATATAATATATAATTTTATAAATAAAAAAATTAGGCCCAGCCCGGCGGGCGGCCCGGCCCGTGAACCGGACGGGTGACCCGGCCCGAACCGGACCCGGGTTTACCCGGGCCGGTTCCGGGCCTCCCAAACCTTGAACCGAGGCCCGAACCGGGCCCGGTCCAAACCGGGTCCATCCCTACAAGCGTCTGATTAAGTTGTAGATACAATGTGAACAACAGTATTACAAAAAAAAATTAAAATATAACCACAACTTTGTGCAAGTAGTTGGAGATTACACATCCCATTCTCATTTCAAGGCATTACATTTGGACTTTGTTCACAACAAAAAACATATAATTGGTAGATAAACTTTCTACTTCATAACAATGATCTGCTTTTTTTGCTTTCTCCTTCACTTCAAAAGTGTTGTCAAGGTAACTTCTTGTTTCTGGTTTTGAAGGTTGACTTGTATACCCCACCTCAAGACCAAGTGATCAACATCTGGAAATATCCTCATCAACAACACCATTTTCATCATCATTTACCACTTCAGAATAATCTTCAGGCTTCTATAGAACACAATAAAATATGTACATAACTAATAGAGTCAGAATCATAACTTCTACAACAAAATGCATAACAATAAAATCACATTAGCGGTAAATATCAATATAAGTAAGAAACTTTATTTGAATACAAAAAATAATGAAACCAACAAATAAGACCACCAATTCTATTTTGATATTGTACACGAATGCTCTGTATATATATAAAGAAAGTTGAACGATTTTTTTTGTCAAATACTATACAGACTACTCTGTTTTCATTACTTTTAATTGCCTAAGCTGAACTTCTAATAATAAATGCATAACTTTTATCTCATGCGGTATTTTATGTTCAAAATAATCAAGATACAAACATATTAACTTCTTACACATAAAAAAAAAGCAAAATCACAATTATAAGTTATAATTTCATGTGGTTTAACCAAAACTATTGAAGTCCTGTCAGAACTGCACAAGCACGAAAGCCATCCCATATTGAGAACCTCACAACGAATCACACAACTTAATTTAAAACAGAAAAGACAAGCTTCAGTATTAGCTATTGCGGAGTATTATTTTTCTTGTTGCTAGTAAAAGAATTTATTTAATTCTAGAGGCTCGTGTTGTCCTTGTCTTCAAAGAAGGTTAAAGTGAAAATGACCTTTTAGCAACACACTTACAGAGTTAGCTAGTACTATAGCTTATATGTAGTAATAAGAATTCCAACTATGATTTTTTTTCCATTCCCAAAAATAGAAACATAGAAACATGTACTAAAAACACTATTCGCGTACTAACTACTAATAGAGCCAAACAACTAACTTCTAAAATTATTGCCAATTATGTCCTCGATCTTCTACAATGAAGATAAGTAAAACATAGTTTTATCACTAATAAAACTAGAAACATAACTTCTAAATCTAAATACGTAACTTTTAACTCACATTAATTCAAGGAATCAAAATCAGTAAGAGAGTATATTTATAGAAAAACAAAGACTTCTTAAAACTATCACCACCACTACTACTGATATTATTTTCTATTATTACTAGTTAATAAAAGAAACTTATATATTCTTAATACTTCATAATTTTTAATATGAAATGCCAAACTACTAAGTGAAAGTTTATAACTTTTTTTGGGAAAAAATAAAACTTTCAAAATAAAACAAACAATGACACGTAAGATAATTAAAAAGAAAAATCAATTAAATCAAGAGTGTTTGGACTTGCATATAAGATGTCCTCGCCGGTAAAGTTACAAGGTAAAAACAAAATATTGCAACACAATACTATAGCTAAAATCATAACTTCTAATAAGAAATTCATAACTTATAGTTCACCTCATCTGAAAACCACGACTTATACTTCAGATTGTTTAAGATATAGTATAAAAATGTACCTTTTATTAACCTCTATGCATAATTTTTTACTATACTAATAACATAAAAACAATTGATGCTTGAGAAGATGCTAATTCTAAAGCATCATTTCTTAAAATGTCAAATAGTAACTTGCAAAGATAGCAATTCAAGATGTACTTTTACCTTATAACTTTTAATTAACTAAGATGAACTTTTAAACTAAACCCATAACTCTTAATTCGTGCATTGATATGTAGGAGAAATAGTAAGACCGGTGTTATTGAAAACCATATCATAAAACAATTGGGTAATTCAGAACTATCATTATGTACTCTATGTTCAAAACAATCACAATACAAATATATTGATTGCTAATAGATAACAAAAATAATCAGAACCAAAATTCTCTGTTAAAGTTCAAAGTTATTTTAGCACAAACTCTTGGCGTTTTATCACAACTTTGGCTTGAAATCTAAAATTAAGTAAACCCTAAATGTGATAAAATTTCAAGAAAAATACAACTGTAGACCTAATTTTAGTGAGTTTGAGATGATTGAACTTTGAATTCAAAGGATTTCTTAGCAATAAATCTGATGTAAAGTAAAACAAAACCTAAAACTGCAAGAGACCAGATTTTAACCTTACCTTCAGTTTTTAGATTTGGTTTGTAGGAGTATCGATTTAACCTGTTACTGGCCATCATATGATGATTAAACAAATTAATTGATTAAATCAGGTTGAAAAATCATAAGATTGAGTAGAGATAATCGAAGACATACCACATTCCATATCGAGAAATAACCTAGCGTTGCAGGTCTTCCTGATTCGACCGATGTTCGTCATTGTACGGTTGCACTTCGTCGGAGGTATTGCGATCTGCGTAGTTGGACGATTGATCATCGTAGAAGTGTTTGCAGTCTGAAGATGCTCTGTAGCGCGAGAAGTTGTAGAGTGTTTGCCTTGATTCAAGGCAAACACTGCCCTTGATCTTCGTCCTTCTTGCGATTAGTCGATCTTCATCTTTTTTCATCGGAGAGAAAGAGCAGGGAACAGAGAGAAGAGATAAATTCTACGTGAATGAATGAAAATACGTATACGGAATTATTTAATTAGGGGAGGAGGCGAGCCGTAAGATTTGATCTAATCTGTCGGCTCCTATTACTTCTCACTTTTCAGCTCAAGGAAGCTTCTCACCGGATCTATTCCCTATCTATCTATCTATATATATATATATATATATATATATAATGTTTACAGTTTATCCAAAAAGACATGAAAGACACGTCTAACAGCATTAGAAACTACAGGGAAGTGACAAATCTCCGGGATAATGGAGATAGATTAACAAACTGTGTTGACTACAGAACGTTTTGTGATGTAACTCATGTCATAGATCAGGCCAGTCGCAAAAAGTCCAAAAATACTTAGAATTGCTTATAAAGTACCTCTCAGAGTAAGGGGCCAAGTGGAGACTGGAGAGGTAGTCATACCTTATCCAAACCGAGTAAGGGGGGCGGAGGAAGTATAACATTAGAAGCACCTTTTATTCGTTTTTAGGCACAAACTATTTATCAGTATAGAGACTAAACCCACTATCCAAACATACTTAGGATAATACATATTTGGCAAATTTCCCCAGGTAGGACGTAGGAGTAAAATAACCCCAAAATGCAAAACTAGGACTAAAGTTTATATATTTTCAAAATAAAAGTAATTTATACTCTCTTCATATGCTACCCTTGCCGTATTTTAATAAAAAAATCCTAATTTTATTTATATTAAAAACATAAAATTAATAACAAAAAAATATAATAAAAACGTAGAAATATAAAAATAAAACAGAAATAGGGGAAATTTTAAAAATAGAAAATTAATAAATAAAGGACATAAAAAAATGCAGGCCTCTGTCACCGCTTTCTAGCACCGCCACCACCGACCGCCTGAAAAGTGTCATCTTTTATTGAAAATGTCACTTTTTCACTGAGAATGTTATGAAGATGACATTATTACTCCTTGGAAATGCCAAATTTTGCTCTAAAACTGTCATCAAGATGACGTTATGGTTGCATGCTGACATTTTTCGGTGGTGATGATAAAAGGTGGCAGAGGCGGCAGCAGAGGCCTGCACACTATTTTTATTTTTACTTTTTTCAATGTTTTACGTTTTATTATAAATAAAAATTATTCTTATAAAAATATGGCAAATGTAGGATAGGGAGAGTTACTCCTACTTTGGAAATTTAAAATTTATACTCTTATTCTTGCAATTTATCTTTTATTTAATCCTATTTATGGAACTACCCTAAATATTTGTGTTCCTAACATCTTAAGCTTATTATCTAATTCATTGCATATGATCAGACTGAGATAGTAATCATTCAATGCATGCTGCTTGAATCTTCAGGTATTTTTTCTAACATCATGGCTAAGGTAAAATTTTGACTATTCAGATCCGAGTGAATTGAAAATTATGTTGCTCCAAAGCTATGACAAAATTCAAGTAACAATGTGATCATGGAATTTTTAGTAGTTAAGTTTTACTCTAATGTTGGTGTAGACAACAATGTGATCATCAACTGTTTTTGTTTGTTTTGCTAGAAAGGCTCTACCTATTGCTTAATAAGTGCTCGGTTGTTGTTTCATTTGAAAAAAGAAAAGGCTAAGGTATTGATCCCCACAGTACTACCTACTCTCCCCAAATGCTTTCCTTTTCCATATGTCCCAAAATTATAATTTCATTACTTAAATAGAAAGTATTGTGCTGTACTGTTGACTGTTGTTGAAATATTTCTTTTTCTTCTAAATAAATCGCGATCACAAAATCTCATATTTCTTAGAAAGCACGTGAAAAATAAATGAGAAGCTGATTTGAGGATGGATGAAGTATAAAACAAGTATTGCACTTCTGAGATATGTAGGCTCACTCTCATGAACTAATACTACAAAGCAACACAATCAATATTTATATCTTCAATTTCTTAGCGTTTCTAAGTTATTTGCATATTCTTCCACTACACAACTGATTTTATGTTGGATCAGACACTTGAAAATCCAAAAGAAAGCCTAATAACACATCAAATCAATCATCAACAGGAAAAATTCTCTTAAAATAAAATAATTTTGAAAAGAATAATGTATATAGTAAACAGAAGGGCAATAGTTTTGCATACCCTGAGAGAAGATGAGAAGTTTGGTCATAAGCCCTAACTTCCATTGACCAGCCAAAACACATTCTTGTATAAGTGCTGGAAAAGCTACGACTTTAGCTCCGTGAATCTCTGCCTCACTGCAATCCCAAGCTCCCATTCATCAACACTAGCAAGACCCTCAACCAGTTTCTGTCTTACCTTAATGTACGGTATGAATCCCTTTTTAGTCATATCCATCACGAATTTCCCCGCCAAGACAAACTGCCTACACTCTATGCATCCTTCAAGAACCAACTCAAAGCATTTGAATCCAAGGAACACTCCCTCGGCTTCTAACATCTCAACCAACTTAACAGCTCTCCATATTTCCTTGTTAGCCCGCATTGCTTCAAGCACTTTCACCAAAATCTCCTGTCTAGGGTTCAATCCGACTGTCACCACCATTTCCCTTATCATCTCAGAAACTGCATCAATCATTCTGAGCTCACACAGCTCGGAAATCAAAGATCCATAGCTGTCCAAATCCGGAATACACCCAGCTTGTCCCATTCCCCTCAACACATTAACGGCTTCTTTCAACTGATCCACCTTGCATAGCGAGGAAATAAGGTAATTGCAAGTTCCGGAATCTGGAGTATATCCAATCGCATTCATTTCTGACAGTATCTCAGAGACCGAGAGCAGATTCTTCCTGCGTTTAATCCACGCATTGGAAAGGAGCAAGTGGGATTGAGGGGGAGGAAGACAGCCAGAACGGATAGTACGTTGAAGAATCACAAGAGCTATAGGGAGCGGGTTCGAGCTCTGTAGGGTGTGAGAGAGAAGAAAAGAATAGGCTCTTGAAGGACGATAACGGGGTCGGAGAGGAATAAATGACTGCAAAATGTCATCAACGACCCTGATTCTCGCACTTTCCGGGAAGGTCGAGAGGAATGAGAAAGGGTTGTGGGTCTGCAGAGAGGGGTTGGAGGCAGGGATGAGGTCGGGAATTCGCTCATAATGTTTGTTCTCAATGGCTGCCCTGATGGACTCTTCGAGCACTGCAGATGAAGAGAGCTTGCGTGCGGGAAGGAAATGGTGAACGTAAGAAAAACATGGCCTGAGCTTTGCCATCACCATTTACACTTACTGGTGCTTGAATCTTGTTTGGGGGTCAGCAGGCACGAGAAATTCAATGTGAAATCGCATCGAGTAGGTGAGGACTGACTGTTGAGGAATCGCTAATATGATTCGACTGTTCAAAAACGCTAATTAACAATATTAGGAATAATAAGGATATGCTTAGTTCGAAGAAAATCAATAACAGAGAGACAAATAAAGTTCAGGATGTGGTTTTGATGGAAATTACTGTCTATAGATCAACTACAATAAAAAAAATTATAAATGTACATCATAGATTTAGGTGACTCCAAGGTTGCAAATCCCATTCTCATGCACTGCCTAATATTCTAGGAACTCGTTTATAATTTTATATCATCACTCACATTATGAACAGGGGTGGATTTAGCATTTCAATTGAGCATGGTAAAAAATTATATATAAAAAAAAAACTTCAATTGCAACAAGGTAAAATACAAAAAGAAGTATTACAAATATTTTACAAGAATAGAAGTTTTCATCAAAGCCAAATAAAAAAATGCCACAAATTTAACTCTACAACAATCCACCACATCATATGATAAGGTTAGATAATATTAAAAAGATCTTCATAAGTAACAATCATATTTTAAAAAAGGGGTTGATACTTAAATACTGCTCCAAGTTAAATTTAGTTAAAATACCAATAAATTTTAATCATATACAATGATACAAGTGCGACTCATGATGTCTAATTGTTTCATCTTACCATGTTACAGACCACATTGCAGTGATAATGAGATATGGCATATTCCATCCATTCACAACATTTATGGTCATCTAGTGAGGTAAAAGAAATTTGAGAATATGCTTAACAAACATACATGATGCTAATTACCCCTGTTAACAGCAAGAATGCTCAATCATCATCATTATCATCATTACCCCAGTGCCGCAAAGGCTCCCACCTTCGGTGGGGTAAGGGAGGTCAGATGTTCACAGTCTTACCCCTGTACTAAAGCACATAGAGACTGTTTCCAAATAATCCATTGTGAAAATTCCGCCAAAAATTGCATGGACTGAATATTGCTTCATAACAAAGAAACTCATATAGTTTAGTGAGCCATTTTGCTTTATTCTATCGTATTCCCAAGCCAAAAAATAGTGAGTCTTTGACTCCATTGTAAATGATGGAAAAGGCAAGAATGCTTTCAATGCTATTTATAAAAAGTTGCCAATGAAATTGTATTTAAAAAAAAAATCACATTGATTTATTAATTCACCATCTTTGCAATAATAGTTTAAAATAGAGCACTGCTAAGGTATTTGTAATAGTATCTCAGTAACTATCTTTAATTCTTTACACACCAAAGAGAAGCTTATGCTGTTCTTGAAAGCTTTAACCCAATCTAAGTTGTTACCACATTAACCTAAACCAGATTTTATCACTTCTTCAGTTCTTCTCATGTGAAGTTGGGTTAAAAATAATGAGCAACCGAACAAGTGTTTTTTACAATAAGGCAGAAATTAAAAAATAAGGTGAAATTCAAGATTTTAAAATGAAGGAATACCATTTAATTGAAAATTAAAAAACAAGATAAAGACCTGAAGTTGAAATGATCCGATAAAGAAGGGTGCGCAGGACTTTTTATATTTCCTTTGTTCTTAAATTTCACTAATTGAAATTTCAGAAAACTACAATTTACTTATTTAGACAAAAGAAGTAATTGAAGTTAAATTAATATTGAATCTGAAATATTTCTTAAACGCATATCATACAAGTTCATTGAATCAATCTAAAACCTTTTCTATTTTGAACAAAATCTGGGATTTAATTTTTAATTTAGTTTACCTGGATGAGTAGGGGGTAGGAAAGACGGAAATCAGAGTTTTTTCAGCGTGCAGGTGCGGCCGATTGACACAGTCGACAGTCAGCCAGTCAAGCTGGGCGGCGGACGGCAGGGAAAAGCGCTGCGCGCGGTAGCTTGTGGTGGGTCGCAGCGGTGCTGCCGTGCTGGGGGCGCTGGTAGCTGGTATAGACTCCCCGTTGAAGAAAACTGGTCGTTTTCTCGTCGGTCGTGCTGAAATGGTGAATGGGATGAGATTGTGGTGCTGTTTGAAGTTGGAGATCTAAAAAGTTTAAAAATTTGGAGTTGCCGAACAAAACTTGCCGAACTGAAGTTTGAGACCTAGCAAATTTCCAGATGCAAGCTGGGGCAGATGGCTTGCCGCGGGAGGTTCGTCCGGCAGAGGAATACGCCGTTGGCCGAGATGGACGGGCGGGCAACTACAGACCTACCGGCAGGCATGAATTTCAAGTCCGTAGCCTACCAAAATAGAAACGACTCAACCCGACCAAAATTGATAAATCGATCGAAATTAAAGGACCCGAAACCGATCTGAAACCGAGTAAATAGTGCAGTTTGGTTTACGGTTTCACCTCTTCTAAAATCGAAACCAATAAAACCAAAACTGACGAAACCGAACTGACAAACACCCTTATCTAGTACTACATGGTATTTTTTATTTATTGTGTGGACCTAATATGAATATATATCAGTGTGGGGCAGGGCTCTAATTGGTGATAGGCCCGATCCACTTTGGATATTAAAGAATATTTTAATATAGGGTAATTCTATTCACATACTCCAATTTACTAAACGTAGCCGTATAATTAAATATTGCTACTTCCGCTCCAAAAAAACTTTTTCATTTTTCCTAGAAATTATTAACGTAGTATGACATAAAAATTATGTGAAAATCTTTTTTGTTAAAACTACTTTTATAAAAGTATAAAATTTATAATTGTCGTAATATTATACTCCGTACTAATTAAAATAATGGTACAAATTTTATGAAATGAAAAAGTTTTTTGGGACGGAGGAAGTAATACATTATAAACTCAAATATCTAAAATTACTCTCATTTTTATTAGAAATGATTACATATATATGACTAAAATAAATGTTGTTTAAAAAATATAAATCTCAAGTGTAGTGACTACAGTGGTAATTTAGTCATACTAGGGTATATTCAATGTTCACACTTAAGTGACAATGAGACTATACTATAATAACTATTAATCATATTTTTTAAATAAGTTTCATTTCAATAATATTTTTGACAAAATATCTTTTTATAATAGCAAGAACGTATAAAATCGTATTTGTAGGGATGCCAATTGTAACAAACGTGTCTACTTAAATCATGAAAATTTGTTGTGCTAATCATGAAAATTTATACCTGTTTCGGTCACTAAAAACCGCAACAACTATTTACTGTTTTTGGTTACTAGCTAGATAAGTCAAGGTTAATGGCTTCTGATTGTCATTGTGTTCATCGAATCGTTCATCTTGTGCAGCTTTCGACTTATTGGTTGTAGGACGAAATGGGAAAGAATATCACCCTTCAGCTTTCTTCCTCATTCGAGAAAGTTCAAACACAAGCTACATAGATGGAGTAGAAGTTTCAAAAGCACTTGATTGAGATTTGTGTCGAAACTCTGTTTAGTAATAAGGGGGGATAGGAATTTTGACAATGATTTTATTTTTATGGAAATAAGTGTGTGGTTAATAAATGAGGCAGTGTGAATAGAATTTCCCTAAATAAAAATCCAATTATCTCCGTGTTGTTGACACCATCACCTCAACCAATTGTACTAGTAATTGTATTAGTGAATGTATATGCTTTGTGAACCTGACGTTCCCATTTGATCGCACAGAGATAGTGTATGTGCTTACAAGCAAGGTATGAAGCTCTTACTTATGGACATGCTTTAAACCCGTGAGGCCCTGAAGTAGCAAAGCGGACAATATCTACAAGTTGTCTATAACACGTTATCAGCATGATGCTCGCAATGCAAGTGTGTTATGAACCTGAAGTTCCCATATCGCTCGCACAAGAAGATAGTGTGTGCGCTTATAAGCAAGTCGTGAAGGCCTTCATTGTGACCATGTTTTAAAATCATGAGGTTTTGAAATATCATGAATCCCGTGTGACGCGTTTTAAAAAAGTAACTCTGAATACCTCCTCTCCAATAATATTGTGAATTGTCATTTACCTTTAACCCATTTAAACACATTTTTTCGTGAAAATATACATATATATGAAACTTCTTTTTATAATCTATATTTTTAATTTATCAATCTTATTAGTTATCCTTTTTATAGAAAAATTTATCTTTTGTTTAATAGATTTTCTGAGTTATTAAAGATTAGAAACATTATATTTTCAATTATCAATCTTATTATTTATCCTTTTAATAGAAAAATGTATCTTTTGTTTTATAGATTTTCCGAGTTATTAAAGATTAGAGAGAAAATTACCCCTGCTATGACTAAAACTCCTCTCTTTTCTCATAACATAACCTAAATGTTTCCCCCCTAATATGTATTACCGGTCAACCAACTCATACGACCTGACTATTGTTTAACTTCTTTCATTCCATCTCTGTCTTCCAAGTTCTTTTACGGTAAGTATGTGTGCAATTAATATACTCCTTAGTCTTCTCATTTTCTTCCCATATAATTGTTTTTCATTAATTGATGGATCCGTTAAAATAGGTAAGCAAAGATGCGTGTGATTCTCATGTCTCAAGAGCTATATGTCAAAGGTTTTTTCCATACTCCCGCAATCGTAAACTTCTTCTGTATCCATGGAGTTTCTAGGTCATCCGCACCAATCTCCGAACATACGTGTGATGATGAAGGTAGATGGGGAGTGAGATAGTAACATTGAGTTTCACAGTTTGTAGGTCATTCACACCTTTGTCATGCTCATTTCACGATTTCTGTGCCATTGTGTATGGTTCCTTGGGCGTAAAATATTCCGACGAATGTATACAAATTTCATACGTTTATGAAGCATGTCCTCCCCCTCTTATTATCAATGATGATTCTAGTTTGATGTTTTATCTACAAATGAAGTGCATTTAATCAGAACTGAATAAACTTCCCCACTTTGTCAAAATACTTCATGGACTTGAAGATGAGTTTAGTTATTTGTTTGACGTTCGTATAATTATGTTTTTCCTTATGATTTATCATGAATGTATTATTAATTTTACTTTTAAAATCCGTGAATGAATGTATTGCAGGTGTGCTAAATGATTGTAACAATGAGGCATGCGATGATGATGGCTTGAAATTCACAATTGAATTGGAAGCAGTTGGTAGAGCGGATGAAGCAACCCATGGTCCGGGGATGCTATAGTTCACGATTCCAGCATCGAATGTAGTGTTGTAAGCTCTCTCTCTTGTGAAGAAGATTTGTATAATGATGACTCACCAAGTTCATTTGAAGTTCCTCTCCCGTCTTTTATCTCCCATTTTGAGCCCACTCATATTGATTTTCATGTTATTTATAAAGCAAGAAAGATTTGGATTTTGATTTAAAGATGTTTGCAATCACAATTTTTTTCCCAATACACACGACAAAATCATCATCTCCTAAGGTGTTGCATGTAGTTTGTATCGATCCAGAGTGCAAGTGGTCTGTCTGAGGTGTCCGTGTTGATGAAAGTGGCTTGTTTCAAGTGCGAAGGTCTGGTTTTTTTAAAGCAAAAATAAAATTAATTAGAGTTTTTTACAAGAATACTACTAAAATAAAACTTATTTACATAAATATAATTATTCATTACTACAACGTAGTATTGTAGTAACTTAAGTTCAAAACTTGAACATGAATTACTATGATTTCATTACTACTCTAGTAATGAGTCATATTTTTGTAAACCATCTTTATTTTGATCATATTTATGTAATTATTTCATAAAATTATTGGCCAAGTAGTTGGACACTATTTGTGCATTAACACCACAAGAGATTTACCATCGCTTTAAAAAAAAACCTTCACACTTGAAACAAGCCGCTTTCATCAACACGGACACTGGAATAATTATTTTCTTACTTCTCTTCATATGCTACTGCACTGGAATAAATTCTTGCTGCCCAAATCATTCTAATTCCTATACATCAGAATTCTCATTTTGATTCATTCAATATTTTAGATTTGATATCAAACACACATGTTCAATGGATCTTAGATAAGCTAATAGCCATCAAGCATCTGCATCTCTTATTGCCGAACTCATTCAACATGAATATGATGACACCTCCGAAAACGTTTACACACCTCAAACAATTATGACAGCTATAATAAGACTTCTTGGTATCATAATGTCTCACAAAAAGCTTGGCATGCAAAGGAAATTGCAATGAAACTGGCTCGGGGATCTGAAAAGGAGTCGTATAATAGACTGTCATCTTGTGTTATATGCTGGATCAAGCAAATCCAGGTTCTGTTTCATATTCTTGCAATTTAAATGGAGGATTTGAGTATTTTTTATGTCTCTTGCGCCATGGAGGAATAAATGGGAACATTGCATCCCATTAGTTATTGTTGATGGTTCTTTTATGAAGTCGTATTATAAGGGAACAATACTAACGACATGCACTCAAGATGCCAACAAACAAATTTTTCCACTTGTGAAGTGTTGAAAACACTGTGAAGTGGTCATGGTTTTTCAATATGTTGAAAAAGTCTCTTAAACATAAGGATGACTTATATGTCGTGTCCGATTGCCATGAGGGAATCTTAAATGTTGTGCATTCAGTGTTTCCACATGCGAAACATAGTTTTCGTGGATCGGCACGTTCGGTGTCTTGGATATTTTTACAGGCAGCTAGGGCAAGTTCAGTGTATGAATGCGAAGAGCACATATCCATGCTTGATTATGATTACCCTCCATCGTATACGAAAATACTTGGAAAGAATTGTAACGACAAGTGGTCTCGTGCATATGCTAGCCTCAATAGATACTCGGTTATAATGTCCAATAATGCAGAGTCTCTGAATGTTGTTGCTGTCACTGCTCGTGAGTATCCAATTTGCGAGTTGGTAGAATTTATTGTAGGCACAATGCAGAAATTGCTGCATCTAATCATTCTCGGTTCTCTACCCATTTTGAATCTCAGCTGATTGTATCTCAAGCTAGTGCAGCTTTAATGCAGGTCATTCAATACACTATGTGCCTTTAATATTTAAAGTTTTTTAATTCAACTTTTAACATAATTTTTTGTTTTACGTTTCAAACATTGCTTTTACAGGTAAAGCCATCATGCAATTTTGAGTTTGAGGTTTTTGACAGAAAAAGAAGATCATATGTTGTCAATTTAAGAGAAGTGATTTGCATTTGTCGTGAATTCCAACTAGATGGCTTCATATGTGTTCATGTTGTTGCTTCAATTCGATCTCGCTCCGGTCTTTCTTGTTATGACTATATCCCCGAGTATTACACTCATCATAAATGGTTTGCAACTTACGAGGGTATTATTCATCCCATTGGTAGTCCCAATGGTTTGGTTGTTACCCATTATATAGAAGACCTCATTTGTAACCCCCTCATGTTCGAAGCGCCCCCCTGGAAGACCTAAGAAGCGACACATGCCATCCATTGGTGAAAATGTGAGAAAACAAAAGTGCTTCAGCTTGAGTGCTTGACTCATTTCATAAGTGGCACCATGGGTTCAAGTTTTTTATGACTCTTTTAGCTCTCATATATTCTTGTGGAACCCATCAACCCAACATTGCTCAAAAGTGCTTCAGCTTGAGCGCTTAGCTCATTTCTTAAGTGGCACCATGAGTTCAGGTTTTTTTACTGACTCTTCAACTAGAGATTACAATGTCATTATATTACTTTCTCGTTTGGTTGTTGTTGCCAGTCTCGAACAGAAAGAGTGGCGAGAGTTGTCCTTTCCCAACAACTTGCGTTGTGGTAGAGATGTTGTTCAATTCCGCAATATATTTCATTTTGAAGCAATTGATCTACAATTGGGAAAGGATCACTTTTCAAGACATTATAAAATCCTTTATTGTGATACATAGAGTGAAAAATTTGAACCTTTCCATGCACCCAAAGTAAAGGATGGAGTAGTTCAAGAAATAAGTGCTTTTGGGGTTATAGAGGATTGTTTTTCTAAAGCCATCCCCAGTTGGTGTAACAATACCACGAAAATATGGTGTAAATACCACAGAAATACTTTCCATGAAGAAATATGGTGTAGCTGAATCATGGGTTACCATGTTTATCATCTCAGGGTCTGAACACTCGATTTTTTATTATGACTGATTTACCTTTTATTCTTTGAAAAACAAGGTTTTAATTTGGCATTGTTGGTGTCAACATACAATCATTCATTCTTGCTAGGGAGACAAAAGAAAGAACGAAAGAAAGACTATACTAGACAGCATAGAAGGAAAACCATTGTTGGTTGACTTGATGCATGTCTGGTTGTTGAAAATCTAGCCTTGCCCCATGAATTCATTTAGATAGATTATCAACACAAAAATTAAGTTTGCAGATTATAGAAGGTGTAGTTTAGCAATATCAAGTTTAATATCTCTATTTTATAGTGTTTTGATATATTAATTAGAAATACTCTGTTGGATTTCATTTTGCTGAATGTTGCTCATGTTGCTTGCTCTTATGGTCATTATGAGCCATTAAATGGAAGTAATTTGATAAGTATTACTTTCACAGTAGCTAAACAATGGGCTGGATAACCTAGGTCAATACTGACTTGAGTGATTTTCCATCTGTGAATTGCAAGTTGAGAACTTGCAAACTTGGGATCTAATTGCTCATAGTAGTCATCATTAGGTTTCCATGGTGAAATGCATGCAACACTTGTCTAGTTTGGTTTGCTCATCTATGATGTAAGGTTGATTTTAACTATGGTAGGTTGGTTATCTTATTCAGGTCAGAATTCTGATAAAACCAGCGACTGTTTTACAGCATTTACTTTGTTTGCCGTAATAAAATCCATCTTTCTTGCATTTGCAGCCATGAAACTGGAATCTTTCGAATGCAATATTTGATTCTTGATGTTTGACTTTTTATGAAGCAAAAAGAACACAAATTTGTACATTTAGTGTGTCATTAGTTTTTCATATTCATGCCTCTATATTCATACATCTATCTTAAAGAAGCCAATCTGGTTTTTACAAGGTCAAAGGAATCAAAGTTAGTGCTGTTGTTTCCGGTGTTATATGTTTGGCGATAAGAACTTAACAAGTATTTAATGACATAAATCAATAAGGTGATGTGATCAACCATTTAAAAAGAGGTAGAGCACAAACATGTGAGTATGTGTTCCTTAGTTGTGAAAAAAGATATTAATTCTTAGCAACATTTAACATTGGGGAAAAAGTTACCCATTATATTTCACAAAATAATTTTTTCATCAATACACCATGGAAGTGCAAAAGCACAATGCCTAGCTAGGTATAGTCCAAAGTCTACCAAAAGCTCCAGTAGCTGCTAAAATCTAGAAGTGATAGACAAACAAATGGTCGGAAAACCAATTAATATATAGCAGTTTAGTCATATATATATTAGCAGTTAAAAATATCATTGTACAAGCACACTCTCATTTACAACATATAAAAGCAATTACGATTAGTTAACAACAACTTCAGCACCCAAATCAATCTCAAATGGCTTCTCTAACAATTTATGTCAAGCAGATTGATAGAAAGCCGCCATAACACATAGCATATCACATTTCAGATTGTTTATTTCATTGTATCCCTCGAAGTTTTAACTCCACACAAAAGGATCACATGATATTTTTTTACCAAGCCCTTAAAGTCTTAAACCTGCAGCAAGAAGTAAACAAAAAAACAAAATAAAAAATCTACTAAGAAGCAAATCACTGCTAGGAATTCGAGGTAAATAGGATTTTATATATTCATTCCATCTCATATTGATCATCAAATTGCTCACAATTTAGGCATGCCTTGAAAAAATGTTCCTCTCATTTCGGAATTCATTTCAGGAAGTGCACTGTAATGTTAAAGGAGCTATCCTCGCTGATTTAGAAGATTATGACTTTATATGGCATATGAAAAGAGACCAAATAATATTACCTCTATCCCTTAAAACTCTGCCAAGTTTGACTTGCACAGAGTTTAATAAAGTAAAAAAATTTTGTGGTTGAGTTTTGTGGAGAGGAGGGAGAATTAACGGAAACCACAAATTCTTTACTTAAAAGGGAAAGTGACAAAGTTAATGGGACAACCAAAAGAGGAAAGTTGACAAAGTTTTAAGGGACGGAGGGAGTATGTTTCAGTAGAAAAAATGCCTTCATTTGATAAGCTCAAGGTAGCAGGAAGTTCTGACCTTTGCTTTAATATAAAACAAATTCCATAGATGTATCATTTGCTTCTCGTCTTTGACAACATCAACAAAGTCATTAAGTATTTGCATTATCTAATAAATAATACACAAATAATGCATCGATATACTTTTTTTTAATACGGAGTACTTTTTATAGTTATATATGGTTATGAATATACCCATGCACATTTGTTAACAGATGCACATGCCCCACGTAGCAAGTGTTGCAATGCATCAAAATCTTGCAATGTTTGTACCATTCCATGATATTTAGTAAAAAAATTGAATTACTTGGTGATCATTTTATTTTAAAAGTGTCTACTTCAATAAAATAAGTGTGATTAAGATTGAAACATTTGAAGGGATACAATTAATAAGAAAAATGGAAGAGAAAAGGACAAATTATGAGATGCATTCGACACTGAGTGATTATTCCCAAAATCTACAAAACTGTGCAAGATGCAAATGTTTTCTAGTATTAACAAACAAATACACTAAAACCTAGGAGAGTGTTTTTAGACCACATGAAAAATAAAAAGAGAATATAAATAATAGAACCTCTGTGTGTATTACCTTGTAAAGAATGGTCAGTGCTGCAAGCTAGCCCAGTGCTATCCATATTTGTAGCTTCTTCTCTGAATTTGTGGCAGAAGATCCATGTCTCAAATCCCCATTTGTTTATCCTTCATTCCAGAGTTTCCGATCTCGGACAAATAGAAAGCACGATTTGGAAATCCTCTTCCATCCTCCCTAGATACAATACTCACTAGCTCTAACACCATAAGGATGAGTAGAACTTCCATGAAAAATGAGGAAAAATAACTCACCGCACCACTCTCACGGAAAGCTCACTGATGAAGTTCTGAGGCGATTGGATGGCAAAGTAGAACGAGGCGGCAGAGAGTCGCAGAGAATCAAGAAGATAGAAGGGGAACCGAACATGGGAATACAAATACGGAATATGGGCTAATCAAGGATCACATTTGCAATCTTGAAAATTTTAAATGAATAGTTGACATGGAATAAATATCAAATAAAATTTTGTCATGTGTTGAATGCACCAAAACATCCACAAACGTGGATGCACGGAAGAGCTACCCTTACAAAAATGCTTATAAGCGTGTTAAAAAATAACAAAGATTCATTTTATTTTATGTCAATCACATAACGTATTATAACACGCGTCCTCAATGCTAACCCATACATTAATTCACTTACAAATTACACACCTATCACTACACACATTGATTAAATATTTACATGTTGTGCAAGCCTACATTACAAACTAAGTTTTTAGATACTGTCATTCATTGACCAACCCATACAACTCATACAACACATACTCAATACAATACATACTCAACTCACACAAATAACATATAAATTACTCAACTCACACAAATAACATATAAATTACTCAACTCATACAAATAACATATTTTCATTGCTTTACATTCCTATCACACAATTTCAATGTGGTTCCATGCAGTCCTTCACTTATACAGCACACACATATCTAGCATCTCTCTTGCACATATCATATAAGACATTTAATGCCTCATGTTGCAACACATTCAGTGTACCTCATCACTTGCAAATCGCACTAAACAAATACACTCACTACACCACATCACTTCAACAACACCCGTGTTTCTTGCATTCTCAACACACTAAAACATGCAATCTAAATAAAAACATGCATTCAATGCTTTAATCCAATCATACAACAACACAAATCTTTAAATAATACAACGGTTTAACGCATGCAATTAGGGAAACCATTGACTGCTAACATCAACGAAAAAACGCTCCAAACTAAATTGTATCCAGCATTCAAAATCAAACAAATTAAATCTAAGAACTCACCTTCCCGTCCATTGTAACTATTTCGTACTCTGTGTCGTTGTTGTTTCCCTATGATTTTCGTATTTTTCCTCACCATTGTTCTTCCCGCGTGTGCCTATTTTAGAGTTCCTTCTGAACTGTCGCTGTTTCATTTCTTTCTCTCGATTTCTCATTGAATTTGATTAGGTTTCTCTTTTGGATTTCTTCCGTAAATGAACTCCTTTGAATTCGCACCGATTATTAATACTTTCTTCCAATTGCAGCTTAATCGACCTTATTAATACTGTCGAATAAACACTTTATAGGAGGATGTTTTTGTCTTCACAACTGAAAATTTCCGTCGTTTTCAAATTGTTTTATTGATTTTTAGTCACATGCATGACCAAAAACTACTCTAGCATATTCTTGGAATCCGTACTTTTTTCAGTAATATGAACGTAATTTTCCCAAGATTAGAAACTAAATGGTAATGTTGGAATGGAATAATTGTTGAAGCAGCTGATTTTTTTCATGTGAAGTGTTGGATGTGAAATTTATATGGAGTTTAGCATCATGCATTTGTCATTTTTATACGGATTATGTATATTTTCTTTGGACTGAAATTTGCTGGTTTGATTTGGTCTGGTCTGTTTAAGTCTGGTCTGATCTGGTCTGAACTGGTCTGGTCTCTATGTATTTTATAACTACGGAAGTCTGGTCTGGTCTGGTCTCGTCTGATCTGTTTAAGTCTGGTCTGGTCTGGTCTGTTTAAGTCTAGTCTGGGACCGAAAACAGTCCAAAAGAAAACATCAATTTGAATGTATTTAATTGATAAAAGTACCGCAACAAAGATAAATAGATACTCCGTTATGTTCTTTTTATTATGGTAACAATCAGATCAAATCTGATATATTCACTTTATCATATCAATAATTTTGTAGAATAGCTCCATACGAACAACTTGTAAAAAAAAAACTTGTAGAATACGTTCCAGGTGGAGTTACTCGAAACACGAATTTTTACAGATCTTCCTTCTACCCCCTTCAAACTCAGCCGTCCGTCTTCTTCATTCAGATTCAGAACAATTCATTACTCTCTCTTTCTCTGCA